ATGAGATCATTATTAGTTGATAATGGTGGTATTTATAATCAAATATTAATTAATTTTCAAAATCCAATCATTCATACAATTATTCCATTTGTACGACATTTAAAATTATATATAGATGTTTATAATCAACAATGGATTCATATGTCATCATTAATTGTTAATACTCTATCTGAATTAACTATTCTTATAATTGATAATCAATTTGAATTTTATAATGGACAATTATTTAGTTCATTATTACAAAATATATCAAATAATTGTCATCTTCATTTCTATTTACAATTTATTCCAGATATATATATAATGAGAAGAGATATTGATACACTTGCTCAAAGTTTTCAAAATGATTTTTATATACAACATCAATCAAATGTAACAATTGCTTATTGTCGAAATTTTCAAGTAGCCAATGATTGTCCATTACTTATTTATACATCACCATTTTGTGCATCAAAAATTACATTAATTAATAATCAACAAATAATAGGTGTTTGTGTAAGTATATTATTATAGTTTTATAGAAAATTTATTCGAATAATATTATTGTCATTGAAATTAACTCTCTCGAATATTGATCTTGGGGAGCAGGTGCATTCAAATCTCATGAAATTTCTGAGCAATATTAGAGTCCGAGTGAAGAGGCAATGCTAAAATTTTCAATCGTATATCATGATGTTTTCAAAAGATATTCATCAAACAAGGATGAAAAATAGGGCATTTCGCAATACAAAGTTCTTTGTGATTCTTCTCATTTTTAATATAATTTTTTTTTTCATTCAGAAGAGTATGTCAAACTACAGTGTATGACAGAGTCTTTCTTAAATCCTCACCTTTTATGTGAACGAAAACGTATGACAATTGTGTGATAAGAAAAGTATATACAGAGGAAAAAAAAACCAAAAAAAAGATTTGGACTTTTTTGGAAAGAAAAAAGTCAAATTTTTCTAATAGAAGGTGTCGAAAATCTCTAAAAGATGACACTGTGTTTATGAAAAATTCGAACTCTGACTATCGATATAATCTAACCGAAATAAACATTTTTTTTTGAGGAGAAAGGTGTCTTAAAATTTTAATACTAATGAATATTGACAAACAATAAAATTATATTTTCGATCGTTTTCAAATCTTGTGTTTTCAGTCAAATATGCATGTGTTTTTATTTTTCAAATGAATCAGATAATATTATATCGTAGAAAAACAAAAATCAAGGTCAATATAACATTTAAAATAACATTTGAAAATGGAGAATATTATACGTTATGAAAGAGAGATGAGTTCGAATTTCTAAAAAACAAAGAAATTATTGAAATTTTTATATTTGCATTAATCACATCAAAGATCGTAATGAGAATTTTCAAACGTTTTGCAATTTCCGATAGTTCATTGATTACGGAAATTTAGAAGCTAGAAGTTGTTTCCGGAATGATGTCACTAAAATATCTGAATCTTCCGCAATTACCTTTTCTCCGGAGATGTTAATATTGCTATTTTTTTTTCTTTCCTTTTCTTTCAATAATAATAGATAAAATTAAAAATTAAATGAATTTTTTTTTTCTCTTTTAGTCTGATTATACAAATTTAACTCGATTAATATTTGATCCATGTTTTCCAAATTATCCTAGTATTGCTCCTTCAAATAATCCAATAAATTTTTTATCGAATTTAACATCATTAGAATTAATTCATACACCTCGATATCATTCGAATCGAATGATGATTCCATCAAATATTAATCTTCGACAAATTATTTCAAATATACGTCATATGCATTTTCTTAGTGTTCAATGTTCATCTTATTTAATAAAATATGTTTTACCATTATATTCATTTCAATATTTACGTTATCTTGACATAACTGACAATGATTTAAATTGTTCTATTTTATGTGATATTCTTCATGAAAGTAATTTTTGTGCAAATATTTTTCATTTGAATATATCCGGTTTATGTCGTCTAAAAGATACACATATTAGAGAAATTAGTAAAAAATTTTCTAAACTTCAAACATTACAATTTCCTATGAAGTTTATATCATCATTTAATGAACAACTTGATACAATAGGTCAATTTATTTTAATTAAAATGCGTTTACATTTACATTATGTACGTATTTATTTTCAACATGAACATTTATTAGTTATGTCAATGACACCAAGTGAAAATCAATTAAGCGAATGGTTAGGTTATAATCAAAAACGATTATTACATGTACAAGCTATTGAACTTAATCGAAATGAATTATCTGCTTGGATGTAAAATAAGAAAATATTCTATTTTATTTTGTTTTGTTTTGTTTTGTTTTGTTTGAAAATATTAATTTGTATATTTTGAGTGAAAATAAATTTCTATCACAAATTATTCTTTTTCTTTTATTCTTTAATTTTTCTGAAGACTGAAAGTTGAGAATGAATTACTAACTATTTCAATGTAGAGAGATATAATAAATAAAAGAAAAGATAGGTTTTTGGTTTTTTATCACATATTCAGGTTTAGTTATCAGTAGATATCCTAAACATAGACACAGCATATGATGTCATAGTTTTATTTGCATAAAGTAGATAAATGTGACAAAATAGATAAAAAAGAAACGTGAGATAATAGCATTTTCATTGAGGTAATTACTTTCAAGTCAGATTGACATGAAGACGACTGATTTGAATAGAAAAAAATCTAATGTGTGTAACTTTTATTTTTATTTTTATTTTTGAATTATTTTATTAAAATTCTGTAAACATTCTTTCAGACTTGAAATTCAACTCGAGCGAGTATTTCATTACCGTCCATGTCTGTTATTGGTTCAGCTCAACCAGATGTTGTGAGAATTAAAGTTTATGTAAGATAATATTTCGACTTCTTGTATAATATTATTATTTTCTTCATTATAAATTATTCTAGAAACCGAATAGTAATACAAATGATGAAAGTCATGAAGTAGGTTCATCAAAAAAATTTTGTATTGATCCACGTCTAACAACTTATCAAACACTCCAATGTTTGATTGCTCAAGCATTTGATATTAAATCAGATTTTACGATACATGCTATTCATAAATGTCTAACAACTGGACGAGAACAACAGACAGCTATTTGGTCCGATTGGGATCTTGATGCATCAATACAAACTGTTCAACCTGGTTCATATTTAAGATTACGTTATGAATTAACTCCTCGAGAAGAAGGTATTGGATTAAGGATAGCTTCCTTCTGCGTCTTTCTTAGACTAGTTCTAGTTCTTTGCGAGAGTATAATCGGTCGGACTCAAATTTTTATCATAGCTAAATTTTCGAAAATGATGGAAGCTGTGTTCCAGGAAAAAATTTTAAAAGTTGGTCTTCAGAGTTTTTTAAAGAGATCTTCAAAAGAAACGTCGGACCTGCTTATGGCCCTGGTCTTACTTTGTTCAATCGGACTGAATTTTTTTTCTAGAAGTACCTAGGATAAAGCCACTTCTGAGACTTTGTCTTAGGTACCTCAGAAAAAAAATTTCGGATCGATCGGATAAAGTAAGACTGAAACCGTAAGCAGATCCGATGGTTTTTTGAAGACCCCTTCAAAAACTTCAGAAGACCTGATTTTTAGAGTTTTGCCTTGAACACAGCTTCCATTATTTTCGATAATCTAACGATCATTAAAATTTGAGTTCGACTGGTTACATTCTCACGGAGAACTAGAAGTAGTTTAAAAGAATGGAGTATTCTTAAGTTATTATTAATCGTACATCGAAATTTTCTTTAGATCTCGATGATTGGGATTTTATTGGATTAAATGATTTCAATGCAAATATTCGTTGGTTTAATGTTGATAGTCGATCTATTATTGCAACTGTAAATCAAACAGCTGGAAAAGCAGCTTCAGCTTTGAATAAAGCCATTAGTATGGAACAAATACTTTTTGCGGAGGTGATTTTTTTTGTTTTGTTTATAATATAAAATTTTTAGATTGGATGTATGGAGGAAATGAACGACGTAGTTCAAAACCAGTTAGCGATAGTGATATGAAAAAGTTTCTTGATTGTGAAGGACGTCTTATACATGTAAATGAATTACGACAAGCTATATTTGAAGGTGGTGTTGAACCACCATATCGTAAAGTTGTATGGCGTCATTTATTAAATATTTTTCCAGCAGATATGACTGGTCTTGACCGTATTGATTATCTTAAATGTATAGAAATTAAATATAAAAAGTTCGTAATTTGTTTTTATTTTTTGAAAAAAGAAAATCGAATAACTTTGAATATTTTTGTTAGATTAAAAAAACGATGGACAGATGAACAACATCAAAATGACCATACTCGATTAATTATGCGTACTATAGAAAAAGATGTTTCACGAATTGATCGAGCATTTGGTTTCTTTAATGATTCTGATCATGGTTGTGTTAATGTACAATCTCTATTTCATATTCTCATGACATATTGTATTAGTCACCCAAATATTACATATAATCAAGGTTTGTATTCGGTATTGTTTGTTGTTTTTTTTATTCTTTCGTAGACTTTACATAGACAGTAAAGTAAATATTTAATTCAAGAACATTAAATATATTTTCGGTTCGCCATGTGTGAATATCTTATCAGTCTTATCACGTTAGATCGTGATAAAAGAGTCCTTGGCTTTATATCTGATAATATGATTAGATTATACGAAGATTTTAAAACTCTTTTCTATGATTAACAAATGTTCTTCGAGGAAAAATAAAATTGTAATAAAGAATAGTTTAAAAGTTGTTAGACAAAATATTTGGCTATTTTTCGTGTATTTAAAGAAAGAGCGAAATGTCTAATGCAAAAATACATAAAAGAGTTTAGATTGAAAATATTTTGTCAAAACCTATAAAACTTTTAGAAACAAAAAACTTCGAAAAACTCTCCCGCAACTTTGATCATGATTTTTTTTATTCAAATATATTTGTTTGAGCTTTTTCATTATCCACTTTCAGCGTTTTCGAGCATTCTACATATACAACTATTTATTATAGTGAAGGCTTTCATGCGGTATTAAAATAATTGATCTAACATACAAGAGAATTGATAGCAGACAATTCTATTAAAAAAACTCAATTTAGCAGATTTGGGATGTATAACGTAAAAAAAATATATATAATCGATCTAATTAGATGAAAACTTTTCTAAGTTCAAAAAAGTGGCGAAAAAGTTTTTCGAAGCCGTTTATTCTAAAATTTTTATAGACTTTGAGAAACATTTCCAATCAAATTTTATCATATATTTTTGTACTAGACACTTCACTCTTTCTAACAAAAAAAAAACACGATGAAGTCTCTACAATATTCCATCACAGTGCTATATTAACAACAAAATTAATGCAGAACTTTTGCCCAATCCGTTATTAGCTTAGAATTTTTCTATGACTTCTAACTATTGAGCTATAAGTAAAACTTGACAGAACTCAAAAAAAAAAGTTTTCTAGAGAGGCAAAAATCTTATTTTTCTGAAGACAAGTCTGCTTCATGTAGACATCGAATGAGTTCTATAAATATATAATGCTTGAGGGTGATCGCTACTCTACAAAATGATACAAAAGTGAAGGCTTTTGGTTAATTCGCTAAAAGATAGAAGAATTGTGACGAAGTGTCATTTTGTGCTACAGAAAGGCGAAAATCGAAAAAATAACCGTTTCTCTTGCGATAGACTTTATAAAAGTCGTTATTGTACCTCAGTGGTTTGCAAAAAAATTTTATACTAATATACCGCTTTGTAGAGAATTATTCTCTATATCTTCCAATATAATCAATAAATAAAATTGTGTGACACGTCTCTTACGATGGAAAGAAGAAACCCAAAGATCATTGTATTCGTAGTAACAGATGGAGAGGGGACTGATGGTCATTGGATACATTTTCCTAGAATCTTTCAAAGCATTCTATAAATCTAAGATTTCTACTATAAATTCCAACTAATCTAAATATTGCGGGTTTGAATATTTAATACAGCGAAAGGATCTTTATAGTACTTGAATTCTAAGTTTAGACAAAACTCAACAATATATATCAAAGTTCATCGAGATAAAAAATGACACGATCGAAGAGTTACTGAACGGTTACATCAATGTGTATAGTAGACTAATATGGTGTAGTTTAACCTATTAAACGAAGAAGAAAATGATATTTGCCACTTCCTATGTCATATATTGTATATATTATCATTAGAAGAAAAGAAATTATGTATTGAAGATGTATCTGACAATACAAAGTTTTTTTGTTCAATATAACAATCTAAGAAATTAGTAGAATAGTAATTCTCACTGTAAACATTTTCGGAATGACAAAATTTAAGAATGTGTACATATCAACTATAAAAATTATTACAATTTTGATTGTCAATATACCATAGATTTATAACAGTTAGAGTTTGTGAATTTTATACATTAGCCTCTCATGAGGCTTCGTTAAATTAACTATTGATATTTAATTTGGATTAGTTGTTTACTAAAGTTTGATAAGAATGTAATTATTTTTCAGGAATGAATGATTATGCATCGACTATATTATATGTAATGCGTGATGAATCATTAGCATATATATGTTTTTGTTCAGTTATGAAACGCATTCAAGCAAATTTTGCAACAGATGGTGTAGCTATTGCAACGAAATTACATCATCTTAAAATACTTCTAAAAGCTATTGATCCTGTTTATTGGAATTTTCTCGAATCATGTGATGCAGGTAGGATTTATTATAAATAATTTTTTGTATAATTAAAATTAATCTATATAAATTATTTTAGTTAATCTTTATTTTACATATCGATGGTTATTACTTGAATGTAAACGTGAATTTCCATTTAATGATGCTTTACGTGTACTTGAAGTTATGTGGGCAACATTACCAATTGATAATGAACCACCACAACTAAGTGAAATATGTTTAATAACTTCACCATCGGATACAATGATTGCTGATAATTCATCTTCAATAACATGTCAACAAACACAACGTCGTGCACTTAGTTGTCCTCCATTATCAATTATTGATGAATCTAATTCTCAAAAATATAGAAATCGTAGTTCTTCATTAACATTCTATAATAAAGAACAATTGTTATCTAGTATACAAAATCCAGAACAACGAAATAATAATACAATATTAGCTAACGATGAATATCAATTGTCTTCATTTAATAATAATACTAATACTAATTTAAATTCTTCATTAAATAGATCACGAGGAAGAAGTATGGAAAATTCATTTTCACTTAGTGAAATATCTGAATTTGATTTCGATAATCTATCAATATCTAATAATAATAATAATACTAATAATACAATAGGTACTACTACTGCTGCACAAAATTCACCAACAATAAATTGGTTACAACGTTTATTTAATGATAATGCATTGTGTTTTGAAGAAGAAAATTTATTTTTACTTTTTCTTTGTATATCTATATTATTAGCTCATCGTAATTTTTTATTAAAACAAACTAATCTTGATGAACAAGAAATTTCAATACATTTTGATCGTTATCGTCGTCGTCATAATGCTGAACGAATATTATCATATGCACGAACATTATATACACAATATATACAATGGATTAGAAAAAAACGTATGCTCGATGATCTCAAAAATTTTTCGCCTAATTAATCATTCATGTACTATTGTTTTTTTTCCAATACAATGCTTATCATAATCATTATTATTGTTTTTTTTTTGTTTTCTAACATTCTATTATTATTCTAGTTGTCTCGTTATTTATTTATTGATATTTTTTTTGTTATTGCGACGGAGAATTAAATGTTAAGGAATGTAATAAAAGACCATAGAAATTATTTGTTTTTAGAGATGAGATAATGAAACTATTGTTGACTTTCGTTTTACTGCATAAATTAAATTGTAATTAATATATATATTTATGTATATTTATTGTATATCTCAATAAATGGTAGTCTCAGAATTTTCTTACACTATTTTAAATTTCTCACTATTTATCAATGCATATTCCATAAATTATTAGTAAAAGTATCCTGAAATTGTTTAACCTATGTTCGTAGGTGGCGAAACGTTTTGATTTTATTATAATATGACTTTCGAAAAAAGAGTGTCTAATTTGTTTTAATGGAAAAAAAAAAATGTTTAATGGGAAAGTAGAAATGTTTTCGAAAAGAAAAATATCTCATTTTGATTTTTGTTCACTGTTGAAAATTTTTCACAGGTATGTAATATCTTAATTGCGATAGACGAAAGAAAATTTTGAAGCCTTCTAGTTAATTTGGCTCAGGTTTTCTGTACAGTCCTTCGTTACTTGTAGTGAAGGATCTCTTCTTCAAGTCATTACCAATATATATGATTCAATACTTATTGATACAAAATTCAATGTTTCCTTAAAAATGCTTTTGTGATACGTTACTCAAATCTATGAATCTGATGGAAGGTTGAAAAAGTGTTTGAGCTTATCCTAAGTCTTGTAATTCCACTGCATATGCCTACGTTGATTTATGATTGTTATTATTGACCGTCTTCAAATTAGAGACTTGTGCATTTATAAGTAGTGCAAAGTTTATCTAAGATTCAAGATTCATTAATAGTCGAATATATGGATATGAATTAAAATTGAAATCTTTTAAATATCATACAAAATCGGATGAATTTTGATAATCTTTAATACAAAAAGTTATTGCCAAAATCTCAACCCATGATTCTCTGCTTAGCAGTATCGTAGAAACTTAAGTCTATGATAATTGAAAGAACAAAGCCTGAATATCAAAAACCATAGGAAAACAATTTTTTTTGAGATTAACTACAAGTAAGAAAAAAACTCAATATCAAAGATCGTCGATAAAAGCTCTTGTAACATACTGTTTTTTCTTTAGAGTCTAAAGAAAAATTTTTTGTTGAAAAAAAAAACTAAATTAATGAGAAAATAGTCCTTACAAAACTTTATCGTCCTTTAGATTTTAAAAGGTTTCGCAATAATTTTTTGATAGTAAATAAAGTGCATTATACATTTTAGTTTGCATAGAACGCACTATTTTGCATCGAAAAGAAAAATTCGTTGTCTCACTCAAAGTTAATCCAAAAAAAAAAGAAGTTTTGTTTTCACTGTTTTTTATGCTCAACCTTTGCTCGATCAACTAGAAAAAAAAAGGATGAACTCTCTACAATGTTTCTGAACGAGGAATCATGAAAAACGAGATTTTGGTAATTACTTTTCCAACACAAGTTAGGTTTGCTTCTCATATCCTAATACTTAAAATATTCTGTCTGATAAATATTACCATAATCATTTTATTCTGACATCGTTATCTGAAGGCGCCTGTTTTCTTTTTTTGTTCTTTTAATTTTTCTTCTTTTTCTCATACCGTTATTGCAAACAAATCAAAACATCATGAGATTGAGCATTTTAGCTAAGATTATAATCTTATCAATCATATGTACAATTGGTATTACTTTTCTATTAATGAGTTGTATATTACCAAATTCATATTGGCCATTATTAATTCTTGTGTTTTATATTTTTTTACCAATACCTCTTATTATTACTACAACCTGTAATCAATACGATGATAATACAGGTCCAAATGAACTAGCTATATTTATTACAGCTGTCTTACTTGTTTCAACATTTGGTCTTCTTATTGTTATTTATTTCAAAGGCTATATACATGGTCTAGGTTTGAGTTTTGCTCTTACTGGTAATATTACTTTTATTGGTAGTATTATCATCTATGCATTGTTATTTCACCGAAAAACAAATGAATTTAATTAAAGTTTTTGAAAAATTGATAATATAAGTTTGATAATGTGGTATCACATTTCAAGATCTATATTTATTATTTAATGAATGTACAGAATGGAATAGTTCTATTATATTGTAGATCAAATTAGTTATGCATTTGAGTAGAATTGACTTTCAGTACTGTAAAGATATGATTTAGAAAGAAATCAGGTCAAAGATTAGAATGTTTTTTCGATATAATCGTGCTATTTTTAAAGCTATTTGTGCATTTGTACACATATTCTTACGGGTCACTCTCAAAAGAGATACAATGTTTCTCCAATACGAATAATGTTGAAAAATTTACTATTTAAACTATTTATAGCTATTTAACTTTTTGTCATAGCTATTTAAGTTTTGTTATAGCTATTTGAGTTTATCATAGCTATTTAAGTTTTATCATAGCTATTTAAGTTGTTCTATAGCTATTTCAGTTGTTCTATAGCTATTTAAGTTTTTCTATAGCTATTTAAGTTGTTCTATAGCTATTTCAGTTTTTCTATAGCTATTTAAGTTTTATCATAGCTATTTAAGTTTGTGATAGCTATTTAAGTTTTTCTATAGCTATTTAAGTTTATCATAGCTAT